GCCTCGCACCGAGGACCTATCCATGTCATCATTTACCCAGAATGCTTTGTGTGGAAATAAAATGGCTCTGTCCGTGTAATACCAAAACAAAGAGGCCGTCACATTAAACTTTTAGTTTAAAAATGATAAAAACTAAACATCCTACTGTATTTTTACAGTCTCTTTTACAGTTAAAATATATGTTTATTAAATAAAGTCTAATGTTACAACTAATCATGGATCCCTTTAAATAACTTGTTGCCAGCTGAAAGATAATCACCCATGCTGTAATTATCCAATAGGAGGCTTGTACCTATTTGCCCAGTTAAATCCAGGTTGTGACTTAGTTTTTGGCCAGGAAATGACTTAAGCACCTAAAAAACTTTTTAAACCATTAACACCCCCACAAAACCATTTAAACTGATGCTGATTAACGAAACAAGTTTTCTGATAAAGACACGAGTCAAAATGTTTCGGAACATTTATTCAACAACAGCAAATCAGATCAATGATCCACTTGTTTTCTTCCAGACACACGATTACCATGCTACAACAGAAACGCTAAGGTTTATACTTTATATGGGTGTATGTACAAGCAACCTCAACCATTAAACTGCTCCTCTGTCAGTTTAATGGTTACAATACAACACCGTACCAGGTCAAATGAGCAGAAATCATCAGTCCCAACATGACGGAATATGAAACAAATAAAAATCCTCAAAAAATGCATTATAGAACCATTTCACTATAGTTACACTTTATACTATGTATTTTTTTATGGAGTCATTTCCTGATCATTGATCCATTATAACTTCTTCTTTTTTTTAAACACACAGTGCATTCAACTTTTTAACATTTACAGTAGCATTTTTCAGTATCTCAATGAAAAAGCCATGACAGGAACATCTATCAAAGGTTACAGGAAACATCATACAGGGGCCACAGAGGTCAACATCCATACCATTAATAGCAGAGGGTGGGCTACGGGGTCTCACCGTTTGTAAACCATTTAAACATGTTATTAGTAGTTATGAAAACTGCAAAAAGGTCTTATTTGAAATATAGGGCCAGTATGTGAGCGACAGTATGCGTGGTATGAAGGATGCTTCTCTTAGAGTGGCCTATGGCACATGGCTCACAGATGATTCGACTGATGAGCTTCATTTTTAAAAAAGTTTGATATTAATAAAGGATTACAGTATCGGTAAATGATCAGACTCTGTGGAGTTCAGTTTTAAAAACACCATGATAAATATAATAATCATCATCCAGAGAGAGAGAGAGATCTGTTTTTTGTCACGTCATTAACTTCCTAACATGATCAAACACGTTGCGCTCTGAACCAGCTGCCCTTTCAGCTGATGGAAATCTGCCTTTTAGCGACTCGGATCAGAGCCAGCTGGTTTACCTGGAGCTCCTCGGCTTCACCAAAGACTAAAAACAACAGAGCTCGAAGCAAAAATACAAGGAGAGAAAAAAGGAAGACAGCAGCAACTTTTCAGGATCCCAACATTGTAGATGCGTTTTCAAATCGAGAGGGGAAAAAAATTAACATTTGTTTTATGTGATATTTCTAGAGTCAGTGTAAATGCTGTGCTGCTAATGGGAGAAAAAAAATAAAACAACATAAAATAAACCTCATCATATCAGATTTGTAATGGAAAACAACAAATCAAATATGAAGGTTTGAAAATGTGAGAAAAAACCAAATCTTTAAAAAAAATAAATAAATAAAGCTCCACCCTGTAAAACGCCCCCGATGACTCAGATCACAAACGTTCACATCAGAAACAAGCACAGACTCACTGTGGGTCAGGKGACAGCAACTGTTTGGAAATTAGAAGTGAAAAGTGCAAACGTAGATGGCAAATCAGTTCCCGAAGGCTTAACGCTGATGAAACGGACCACCTAAGGCCCGGATTTATGTCTCCAACCAGCAACCTCCCTGAACCGTGGCTCTCCATTCCTTCAAATATAAACTTTACCTCCTCTTTATGATCTGAACTCCTTTGCACTGATGTAACGG